CTGCTGTCCCCCAGGTGTCCCAGGGTGGGAAAACCATTTGCCTGAGCGGCTTCATGGGCATGGACATCCCCCCGCCGGGCGGGCCCCTCTGGATCCTGGGCGACGTCTTCATCGGCCGCTACTACACCGTGTTCGACCGGGAGGAGAACCGGGTGGGCCTGGCCCAGGCCGCCAAGTTGTAGCCGCCGCCCAGTCGCGAGGATGGGGACCCCCCCCCCGCACATCACCTGTCTCACACACACACACTCGCCGCACCTGGCGGGCTTTCTGGACGCTGCTGGCCCCAGCAGCCTGCAGCTCTGTCCTGCGGCCTCCCCTCCTGGCCCCGGAGCCGTCTGTCCAGGGGCCGGCTTGGGGCTCGCGAGCCGGAGGACCCAGGGCGGACTGTGCACCCCTCCCGCCCTGTCTCTCCCCCTTTCGGCTCCTCCTGGACCTGGGATCCCCCTTGTCTGTCCCAGGCGTTGGCCATGGGGCTGGCTGCAGAGGACAGCGGAGGACAGCAGGGAGGAGCCGGGGCTTGTGGGATCTTCTTGGGGCCTGACCTGTCCAGGGTGCCCAGCAGTGTGGGCAGGGCGTGGCGCCGTCCTCTGCGGCTGCTCCTGGGGCTGCCGGAGCCAAAGTCGACATCAAATACAGCAGTTCGGCCTGTCTCTGTGTGCTGGTGCCTGGCGCGGGGCGGGGGCTGGTGGGCACTGGGGAGCCGGGGTGCAGGCAAGACCCTCGGCTTCCCTGGAGAGTCCTGTCCTTGGGCCGGACACCACCGAGGGTGCCCCAGGGGGACCCCTGTGGGTGCACAGAGGGGCCTGCTCCCGCGGGGGCCCCCGTGTACAAGAGCAGCTGGTGCCGGGGGGCCTGGGCAGTGCCTCTGGGCTGGCCGTGGCCAGAAGCCTGCACAGCCGAGCCCGGGTCCCCCACCCTGATGCTGCCAGGGAAAGGGCTGCCCTGCTGGCCCCGGGGCCCCCCTGCCACAGGGCTGGCTGAGTGCTCTGCATGTTCTGGGAGCATCTGGGCAGGGTGGCCAGCGGGTCCTGTACCTGGAAGCCCAGCCTGGGGGGCGGCCTGCGGGCAGGCGCGGCTCAGAGAAGAGGCCCCCGCCCTGCTCCCCGCTGGCTGGGCAGCTGGGGCCGCTGGCCCCTCCACCTCCCAGCCCCCCCTTCCTGCACAGGTGCAGGCACTGACAGCCTGTCCAGGGCCAGGGGCCCACCTTGGCCTGGAGTCAGGCTTGGGGTGCTGCTGGCACCCCCCAGCCTGACGCCCCAGGCAGGCAGGCAGCCCCCCGGCCCCACGCCGCCTGGAGGCTGAGCCCTTGGCACTGGCCCAAGCCATCCCGAGACCCAGGACAGGGATGGCCCTGCCCAGGGGCTGGTGGAGAGGCCGGGGTGCTGAGCCAGGAGGGGCTGGGGGCCAGAGGGCGCGAGCCACAAGCACGTGGGGGAGGCCACCTGCCAGGGTCAGGGCTGCGGATCTGCCAGTGGCCCCCGGGCCAGGGCAGACTTGGGGCGAGAGGGCAGGGGCCATGGCTGCAGGGGCCAGGCAGGGACCCCAAGACTCCTCAGAGGCCTGGGCGGGAGAGCGCTGGACCATGGGCCGGGAGGGGGCCTGGGGGCCTTGCTTGGGAGGGCCGGGCCGGGGCCGCAGGACGGGCCGGGGGCACGCGAGGGGACAGTGGGGTATCTGGACTCTGGGGCCGTGGGAGTCCAGGGCTCCTGGAGGGAGGCCTGCGAGGGGACCCAGGACGGCGAGGCGGACAGGCATGCTCGGGGTGGTGGGGCTGCAGGCTCGGCTG